TAAAAACAACAGTCAGTAGTAATGCTCTTCATGCCTCTGTAATTTAAACACATATTCTTCAAAGGTATTGCTGAGAACAAACATTAAGATCAAAGGTGAAAATGTTGCATAATGTATCTTTGGTCATATTCCAGTCTCTTTCAGGAAACTTGGTAAGGCAAATCAACCACAGACACATGCTACACCAACTAATTTGATTAATTTACTTACATTTGATGAAGTTCTAAACTACAGTTGTGTTGTTCCCTCTGCTACAAAAATAATGTCAAAACTTCAGGTTCAGGGACTTATTTGGGGGGGGGGGGGGGTGTGGGTTTACAACAGAGCTGGTGGATTTATGTAAAAACAAGTAAAGAATTACAGGTGGTACTTTTATGTAGAGGTTGATAGCTTGGTTGCTGTTCAGGTGACCTGGTTTTGAGAGTCCTTGAGTTGGAAACTGGACTTGTGATGTTCTCTACCAAATTTCAGGCTGCAAGATAAGTAAGTACTTTTTGCAAAGCAAAAGAAATTATTAAAGGAATAACATGCTTACTGGTGTTATGCTGTTATTAACTTTGGCAACTCTCAAACACTGGCCAAATATAAAAATGATTCAGAGTCATGTCCATTGCTTTTGACCATGTAATATATAAAACCTTTTAAAAAACCAAGCTAGACTAAAATATTAAATCCCAGCTCCAAAAGAGAAACCCAACTCATAACAAAACCATTTTATAAGCACAAATGTCCCTGAAATCCTTGGCTAAAGATGCACAACATGAACAATTCTCTGGCTCATGACTGTGGAAAAAACTGCTCTTCATTTAAAATGTTTGTCACCAATGTAAACCCATCCTTAATTATAATTAATGGAAGGGGCTTTTATGTGCTGGAATAGTAATATGTTGTCAAGAGTTCAGCTTGGCACACATTCCTGAATTACAGTGGAGATTGATCTTAAAATGGAGCAAAGAATAATGTGTAAAGCTGCCAAAGATACAATGAACCGAAGACAATACAGTAGCTATAACTTAAAGTATTGGTGGACAGGAAGTATTCTATGAGTGACTTTTAGGAAGACATGGTTTGTTCACCTCTTTTAGTTCCTGATTTGTTTTTCCTAACTTTGGACAAAAGTCTTGTTTAGATTTGTAGTTAGTGCCATTTAATTTCTCAGGAATTGAACCACCAAAATGTTCCCCTCAATCTTATCTTAACCAGCTTACAGTGATGTATTTGTACTTGCCAGGCTGCTTGACCAGCTGCTAAAAGACACTGGCCAGCATTATGGTACATCCTTAGAATTAAAATGCAGCTCATATTGAGGCTCAGGCAAAAAAAACTATTTAAGATCCCCAGCTCAGCTATTGCCACTGTTTGCTTCTATGTTTTCTCATCCTCGATAGCAGCCAGCCATGCACCTAGATTATTCTGTGGCTGCACTCACAGCTGGAAAGGAAGATAAAGAACTGCTACACTACAGCAAAGATTCACTTTCAAATCCTTTCACCAGCAGTGACCAGTGAGGAACATTCCCTCTCATTTTGCATGGAGTGCCATTGTGGCTGCTCAGCCATGGAACCTTTCCCTTGGTCTGGTGAGTGCCAGTGTGTATCAGTTGATGCTAAACTTCAGTACCTTTGGCTTCAGCAAGGGTCCCTGTGGTTGGGCTGCAGCTCCTGTCATGATATTGAAAATGTAGCCTTTGTCTATCTCTAATACCTGAGATATTAGAGTCTCAGATCCTGACAACTGTGCAAGGGAGCTGTGTACATCTAGGCAGTGCTGTAACTGCACTCTGGTTTTCCCTGTCAGCTAGCACAGAAATGTGATCATGTCAGTCTTGATTTTGTGTTTATATATATTTCATGGAGCAGCATAATTTATCTCACCAAAATTTATCTGTCTAAAGAGTGGGCAATTTACTTCAAGGCAATCCTTTAACCTCTTTAATCCATTCCAATTTTCATGAATTTCTACTGAAGACAGTGTGAATGAGCTGCTTGTCATTGCTCTCGGTATGAGGGAGGCACAAAGCACACAAATAAACCCCACACCATTCTGCTTCAAGAAATTATTCTCATTTAAACAAATCCATCACATAAAGCTAAAATACCTTAGAAAATACAACACCTTTCTTTATTATCCTTTGGGCACCAGAATACTCAGCAGAAGCATAAATTACCTATAAATTATTTTCTCACTGCATTTGTAGAGGCTGAACAAACCAGAGCTTGACAGAACATTCACAAAAATGATCCCCAATACAGACAGTCTGATCTGTTTTCTAGTCAAAAACCTGCTGAGCTCCAGTTGAAATGGTAGCTTCCTACCAATTATGAAAAATAAGGGTTGAATCGTAGAAAACACAGAAGTTGCTCTTGAATAAAAAAAAAATTCCCAAGGTCACTTGCAGTCAGTAGCTGACTTGAGAACAGAAACTTGATACCATCTTCCTTTTTCACTCAGGCATTTAACACTAAATGAATAAGCTTTTTAAAAATACAGCAGGAAACATAAATTTCATTGATAATTATCTTGCCAAATGTTTTTATAAATATGAATAAATAAGGATGCATGCAACTAAGTACAAATAAACATAAGGTTTATGGGTTCTTCATATAAACTTGTAACATATATTTCCCAGGGGATTTGCAGGATCCCCTTTTAGAACATTACAAAAGATGTAGAATAAAAGCTACAGTGCAAATCACTTGACATAAAACTTTACTATAAATTGATGTGTGCATCTTGAGAGCTTTCACTAGTCCCTAGTATGTGTTCAGCAGCTCACAAGCACACTTAGCAAGACTGGAGTAACACAAGCTCTAGAAGTGTGTGTAAATGTCTATAAATGTGATTTTAAAAAGGGTTCTAGCTTTTTGCATGAGATGACTGCAAATGAAAAAAATCCCCAACACACAAGAACTTACTTGAATGGATAAAGCATTTCTGGAATTTGCATTTTTACCTATAAGAAAGATACATGTGACAAACTGCTGTTGACTAAACTATCTTTTTTTCTGCAAAGCAGTGTTGTAATATGGGAATTTACTTTTAGCTGACTATATTGATTCACAATATTGACTCTGCCACTCTTGATGACCCAAAGTTACAGCTGTTGTCTATTCTATTGACAAACATTTTGCATTTTAAAAAAATTTCTAAGATGATTTAGAAATTTGTCTCAATATTAGGGATATTTCAGCAGGGATATTTTGAATAATTTTATCAACTTTAAGCATCTAAATCGAGACATTTTGTAGTTTAAAACCCCAGGACTTCCAAAAGTATTACCTCCTGCTGTACCTGCAGTACATGACTCTCAGCTTACTAGCAGTGACTGAGATAAAGGAAAAAAATTAAAAAGCTAGTCATGAAGAGATTGTACAAATTCAGTTGTCACAGAGAAATTAAACACAATACTATGAGCACTGCCGCAGATAATATTTAATCACCCTAAACTGAAGCTGAGGATAAAGATGTCTTCTTCATAGACATTAACAGACCAAGCTGCCATGAGGCTTTTAGACCTCCAGAGACCTCTTAACATGGTAACAACCAGGCAAGCACAGAATTTCAGAATGTGGTCACAAATAGCCTTCCAAACATTTCACAGTATCATTCCCAGGAAAATTTTGTGAAAGGGCAAAATAAAGATCTATAGACTATGAAAACAAATGAAAATAATATTTTCAAAAAGAATAATGAATTAATTTTAACCTGTGTATGAGAGTATTGCTTTCATTAACATATGCACATATAATTTCACTACAGTATTTTTGGATGTTATGTGTTGATTCTTACAATGACATACACACCAGCCTGGGGATATTATATCCTAAAACATTCCACATGCTCAATGATCTCTATACCACTTGCCTACCCTTTCACAAACTTTAAAGTGATCCTTGAAGACTCTTTAGCCTGCTTATTTTTCTTAATCACTATTGCATCTGTGAGGTTGCAATTTACCTAATACTAATCCAAGATTTCATGGCACTTGAGTGACCATCTTTAAAAGAAAGATAAAAAGAGGTCTTCACAGCCTCTGAGTAGAATTGCAGCAGCTTTTATCAGGCACAGAATGCCAACATGGACAGGAAGTCATTTAGCATTATGTCATATGAAATTTTCTGTGCTCTCTTTTTTGAACTGCCTACTAATGAATCAAAACATATGATACAGTTTAAACTTTGGGGGTTTCTTTTTATTTTTCTGGGGTTTTTTTCTGTGCAGCTATTCTTTCATTAATCATATTATGCTCCTTGGAATTACACTTTCGTCAATACCTTTCTTACTATTTGTAATCTTACAGGAACACATTTAGCTATGGCAGGTGACTTACTCCAAACAAGCATTTGTGAAAATAAGAACAAAAGTACAAAAGAGACTTAGTGCATAAAAACTGCTATAAAGCCAGCCTCATTTTGCCAATTACATTTAATCTCTCATCAGCCTATGAGACAAATTTAGTGTTCCAAGGTTGCATAAATATGAAGCAAACCAGAATATAATCAAATCAATCTAGGCTGAACCCTAGTAAGAGATCACACTCAACAAAAGTTTATCTAGTACAACCACTGACCTGCTACTCCAAGAACTTGTGATGTGAGCATAAAAACTATAAAGTCACCCAAGGGTGTTTACCATTCTCTCTATCAACTGCTGAATAAGCTTGGTAGTTCTGGAAAATTACTTATGCAGGTGTTTGGCAAAATTAATTCAACATTATTTTGAGGATAAGTACAACCTTCCTGTAGTATCAGACAAGTGGCTTCAGTTGAAGTTCCAAGATTACTCTTTTGAATACAAAATGCCAACACTTTCTGCTTTTCTTTCATTCACAGTTGTCTTTCACAGCAACAAAAACCACAATGAGGGCAGAGGCAATTTTCTCCCCTCTTCTGGCCATTCAATGATTAGCAAAAGATAAGCATTAAAATAAGGAAGGAAAGCTGCTGACAGGCCTTAGAAAATTCTGTTTCACTGGCAAGGAATTTCTTCTCTCAACCTACCTTCTCTTGATTCTGGCAGAGTGGACAATCACATTCGAAGCAATACTGGCGCAGCAGCTGCTTCTGGCGTTCCCTGGTAGGCATCAGTGATTCAACGTAGCTGATGGTGAGCTGTGTGCAGTACATTAAAAAAAAATAGTTGGTACATTTTACAAAAGATCCATATTCGGGGTATGTTTTGGCAGAGGCAAAATTTTTTGCATACAACATTTTTTCCCAGCATAAAATAAAATGCTAACAGATTATTTTCTAGAAGAAATGAACTACTTTAACATAAAGTGAGAAAAAGAGAAAAATAGTTTCCATTATTCTTGTGAAAGTGAAGAACACTTTTTCACATTTCAATATCAATATTGTTTGTAATTATTAATTCTGCCCAAAATTATCACTATTTCAACTTTTAATCCTAATTTGGAAGAAAAATAAAAGAAAGGAAAGTAAGAAAAGATAGCAAAGAAACTATGCATAAAGTATCCGAATTCCTTGTGCATGAAATCTCATTTTCTGCCTAGCTCCAGAGCTTAAGAGTGTATTTACCACTACTGTTATACAATATCCAACTATCTCCAAAATGTTTTTCTCAGGGAAGCTCTTACTTTCTTGCAAATATGTGTTTGAGCCTGAGGGGAATTCCTCTTATGCCATATCCATTTTCAGTATGCCAGTGATGTTTCCCTTGTGACCAAGGAAGCACAAAAGCATTGCAGTCTGAGTTGTTTAGACTATTGACAAGAATATTTATTAAAATGATAAAAGAAAATTTGTGCCTAAATTTGTGCCATTTTGAACTTCTTACACTGTACAGAGTGAATTCCAATGAGCTACAGAGAAGTCTGTAGTTTGTTCTCTTTGATGCCTGCCAGAAAGAATTTTACAGGACTAACCATTTGTAGGGTTCTTGAAATGTTTGAAGTGCTTCACAGGCACAAACTAATGATAAGGAAAAAAATATAACAAAAAAAACAGCTCAGTTCAGATCACCATACAGTCACATGTTATTCAGTGATTACACTATCCGCCCAACACACTTTGAAACACTCCAGAGGGGTCAGAGCTGAAAAAAATCAGGTCACATTATTTCATCCTGAGCCTAGACACTTCAACTAATTGGGAGAATTTTCACATGGTTTTCAGTTAAATCATGAATCCATTCAAAGAAATTACAGGAAAACCTGACCAATTTTAGTAATGACCATGAAATCCACTGTCAGAACCTGCATTTTTACAAATTAGTGGGCATTGTAATTGAATGAGCAATTAACAAGCAACTAAAACAATGACTGCATTTTTTTTCATTTATTATTACAGTGTAATTTGATTACATACTGAAGGAGAACTGCGTTAAAAGAAGTCCACTGAGATGGCAAAGTCAAGCATTTAAAATTAATATGGCCTCATAATTGAAGATTAATGGTACGATCAATGAAAGTGACAAATTAAAATTCCACAATCAATCAAAAGTTAGAAAGTGTGAGAACTTTGCTAAATTTAGAATTATATATAGTGTTGTTCTGTCCCAGCTTGTGCATGTCTGAGCCAAGAGAGTATTAGTTTCACCACTACTGGCTTACAGCAGAGCAGTCTGTACTAATATTTTACATGGGAGTCGTAGGCTTCCCTCTGATCTTTCTGCAGTGAATGGATGGCAATTGTGCTGCTTATTTATTTTCCATCCTTTTCTTCCAAGCTTTGTCTCTTCTGTCCCATTATCTCCAATGTTCCTCTTATTCTTTCTCTTTTCTTCTCTACCCCTCAACCTGAGTATCATTTTCCTGTCTTGTTCTCAACAGATTATCTAAACCTGTTTTTTAGCCATAAATTCTAACTCCAATGTTCCTCTTATTCTTTCTCTTTTCTTCTCTACCCCTCAACCTGAGTATAATTTTCCTGTCTTGTTCTCAACACCAGATTATCTAAACCTGTTTTCTAGCCATAAATTCTAGCTCCTTGCATAGCCACTTATGGTACAATGGGATGATTTCATCCTTGTGCCAGTCTCAGATCTGTCCTTTAGCCTTATCCTTCACCTTTCCCCACTGTGTTCACTTGTTTTCCCAAGTCAACAGTCCTTGTTGCCCTACTCTGATTTCTCAAATATCTTCAGTGACCCAAACACCTTTGTCCTCACTTCTTTCCACATCTGGTCCTAATCTGCATCCCCCTTGGTGTGGTAAGAAAGATCTGTCTCCCTTCCTTCCCACAAAGCATTTTCCATCCAAGCTGCAGTCCTAACCTCATCCTTCAGACATTCAAACCCCAATTTCCCTCTCCCATCAAAAGCCTCCCAATCTTCATGTCTCCTTGCAACTCACAAGGTTTTTCTGTCAAAATCATTCCACACACTGGCTGTTCCCTGTCTCTTGTCCTCTGCATAAACATCTCTGGTTTGGACTCATGTCCTGCTGGGCTTTAGGTTCAGGTGGTATCCAACAGCAAAAAGGATTTAACCAAGTTCAGACACAGTGCAAGACAGTAGGAATCTTCTCGGAAAAAAAATCCTCTGAGATTAGTCTACTCTTTGCCAAAATATTTAAGACAGTGGCTTAAACCCTGTCATTACTATTGAAACCATCCTTAGGCAGGTTTTAGTTATAAAACTGCAAAATAAACACAGAGCCAACACCAAATATTCCTTACCTATCCAGCCTACAGGCTTCACCCCTTTCTCTCTTTATATTTTTGGTTTCCACCCCACCATCCCTGTTTTTTCATTTATGTTGCAGAAACCTTGGGGGTAAGATGAAGTTTCAAAAAAGACATTTCTTTTTCAGAGGTTGCCAAACACTTGTGGATATGAACAGTCATGTACCAACATATTAAAACATATGATTGGACAGAAAGAGGAGAAGAGTATTCATCACATTTATCTCTCCTTTTAGCGTTTTAACAACTTAGGGTCTCTCTTGCCCAAGTTCAAATTCCCAGCCCTGCCAGCAGAAATCCATAAGGGAAAAAATGTTTGTAGCTGGCAGACTGAGTGGTAAAATATAACTAGAATATTTAGAAACATGATAAACATGATCAACCTAACAGTGACTGAGCCTATACTAATAATTTAATTGTTTAAAAACAAAATTTCTGTATTCAAGTCTCTCTTCTGTCCTTGCTTTAATTTTGGATCACTTCACATTAGATGCAAGGCTCATTTAACTTGTACATATTTAGGAAATATGCCCATTTATCAAAGGTTGTCTTAATGGTATTTGCATGTGGGATGTATGCTACTAATTAAAACATTACTTCAACTGACCAAAGCTTGCCTCTTTATTGCATCGTTTGTAAAGAATGCAGTAAATCTTTTCCCCGCAAATATATATTATTTGGAGAAAATATATTAAAAACATGTATGAAGGCAAGGAATTATTTAACAGCCACAAGACTTATTGACTCTTAAGACTCTCCTTAGAAACACAGCACTGTCTGAGCCCTGCTTCTTGCTCTGACATGGAAATTCTTTAATCATGGATAAGGTGGTTAGTTTCTCATGTTCCTCATCTGCCAACTGAGGTAGACAGGATTTTCCAGTACTGCCACAATGCAGTGACCTTAATTTATGTGGGGTTTTGTTGTTGGTGGTGGTTTTTTGGTTTGGTTTGGTTTTTGGTAACAGAATATAAGCCACAAAATTTCTAGACAGAAAATTATGTGAAAATTTAATATCAAGTATTTCAATGCTAACAGCAGGGGGAAAAAAAGGGATTAGTTCCACCTTGGTTTTGCAATCATAGGTCTCACAATCTTAGAGAGGTTGTGTACAGAAATCTGTTCCTTAGACAGAGTTATAGAAGTGCTTAGCAGTCTGCACTCTTTCTGTTTTGGCATATAAGATCAAAATGCCTTCTGCAGTGGTACAAAACCAGTACAACTTCTAATTCAAGGAAAAAATTGTTTCTAAACATTTGAATGGGACAAAATGTAATGTGTCAAGCATACACAGATAAAAAACTTCTCACAGAATTACATTAACAAAAACACTATATAACTTGGCTGAAATCTATCATGAAAATGGATTTATTTGCTCATCATCTGAAATCAGTATTTGTTTTTAGTATTTAAAAAAATGTTGCTCTGTAAGGTACAGTCAGTTATATGATAGTCTGAAGAAAGATACAAATTTGCTCTAGCTGAACTTTGAAACTGGTGAGAAGCAAAGCACCCATTTTGGAGCAGAACTGCACCTCAGCTAATCCATTCTGGCTCCTAAAAAGAGTAATTGATTTGAAGCCATACAACTTCTGATTGGAAAGGAGGCAAAATCTTCTCAGGTCTGCCTGCAAAACACTAGGTAGACTCAGCAACTAACAAAAAATCGGTTGAAATTACAGCACGCATCTTGATGCTGTTTGAAGCGGTTACCTAAGGGTAGGGAAATGATGAAGACCTCTTAAGAGTAGGCTGCTTGTCTTCTTGACAAAACTAGTTGATAGGCTACTTGACCAGTAAAGGAGGTCTCATGATCTCTAGACAAATAATTTTTGCTTTTTTATAATCCTTCCCCATATCTCACCTTTCTTTGCAGCATTTATATTTCATTTTTGCAAAGAGCTGCAAGTAAAGGAAAGCTTTGTATGCTGTCAAATTAACATCATCTAAAGTTACAAAAACTGTAATAGTCAACATCACCGAGAAGTTGTGGAGGTTCTATCCCCAGCAGAGTTCAAGGCTGGTTGGATGGAGCTCTGAGCAACCTGTTCTAGTGAAAGGTGTCTCTGCCCGCAGTAATGGACCAGATGACCTGTGAGGTCCCTTCCAACTCTAAATATTCTGTAATTCTGTAATTCTCTTGAAGAGGAAGAAGGTGTTATAATTAGTCTGAGATCCTGGAAGCAAAGTTCAGAATGCTGAGATGACTACAATGGATCTCATCTCCCCTTATTTTCCTTCTTCTTTCCATAACAGATCTAACCTAATACTGACTTTGTAGCTTTACTTTGTCTCTTAAGCCTTAAGCCCATTTTCTTCCTGGTAAGACATTAAAATCTACTGTGTTTTTTAATAAGCAACCCCTCTTAGTGAACTGGGAAGCCAAGAGGAAAATTATGGTTTATGGATAAAATAGAAGGAAGGTGTCTATAATAACACTTAAACAAGAATGCTGAACTGAACAATGTCTATAATTAATAGCTCCACAAACATATATTGCATCCTGAGAGAGTTCTCTTGGCAAAAAGGTAAGCATGCAAAAACATTTTTGTTGGTTCTTAACAATGTTTCACTGAAAAAAAATATTCTACCACTTATTTTGATGGCCTAAGAAAATTTTCTACCATTTACTTACTTCGATGCCCTACTATCTTTGAGAAAGAATACATTAAAAAAGAAGAAACTTCATAGGGAGGTAAATAAAGACTGTGTCTAAATCAAAATAAGTATGGTCTTCATCTCCACAGAGTTTTAAGAACAGGTGTGAATCATATTTACATCAGGTTATGATTTTGAAATGACCAACAGCTAGGACTGTGTAGGTTATTGATACATCTGAAATTACATATACACACATCTCTTTTCAGGTCTTATTAAGCAAATTCAGTGCTGCATTGCTGCAAAACACTTTTTTTTTTTATTTCCAGCAACAAATGCTTATTTTCAAATTAATACAAGTGCTGTTGTAAAAATAAAGTAGAGAATATCTTAGATTAAATCTTGAAAAAGATATTTTTCAGTCTTTCCTAGTGAAACGGACAAGAAAGCAAACCTTGGTTAGCACCTTTCACTGTCAATGAAAGGTTTACTACAAGTGCAGGGTTGCCGCCTGACAAATGTTATTGTTGCAATGACTTAGGGAACACTGTATTCCACTCAGAAATACTCTAAGTGTTCCCGTCAGGGTAAAGACACTCAAATACAAACAAAATGAAGTGCCTAGAGGAGGAAAGGAGGAACAGGAATTTATCAAGACTGCTAGTGATTTATGAGAAGTAATGATTACAGGGCCCAGGCAGTGTGAAGAGATGATTCTATTTATCATTTTCCCCCTGATAGCTATGTGCTAGAAAGTGGCATCAATATATCATCAAAATATTAAGCTGGTGGCCCAGCAGTCTGGAATTTATTTAGGGAGATGTCATTGTTGCAGGTGTCTGTGATGGAAGGGAGGACAAGTTAATTACCTCTTCACCAATCTGGATCTCTCGGACAGAGTGAAGTAAAAGCTGGTATCCTTCAAAAACGATCACGCAGTTTGGGTCACAGCTGTGGTTCAGCAAAGACATGCTGTGAGGAGTGAAAGAAAGAACAAAAAACTTAGAGGAGTCTCCACTGCCATTTCCCTTTAATCATTTGAAAGTAGCTAACATGATTACATCTGAAGTATCAAGCAATTAAGTCAAGAAAAAAATAAATTCCCTGTTAAATCAGCTGCTCTTGGTTAGGGGAGGAAAATGAATGTTTAGAAGATTTATATTCACTGGTAATAGGAGCCATGCCGGGATCTCTTCAAATGTTTCTGCCTTTTGTGTACCCAGGGCAGGAGGAAGGCAATGGCCTCCTCCGGGAGCCCTGATCCAGGGGACAGGGCAGTGGGGAACAAGGTAACCTTGTTACCTTGACAGTATCTCCCTTGGCAAGAGGGACTGAGCTCTATTTCTGCTGCTTCTGCTCAGTTTCAGGGCACTGACCTTATTGATTACCTGGCTGTCATTGCAAGCACAGCTCAAAGGGGCCAACAATCAACATGTATTTCCTATCAGGAGAAAATTGAGTAGATTATGTCCCAAAGCCAAAGAAGTTGGTGTGTAGAGTTGAAAGAAGAAACATGGCCATTGTCTCTGTTTTCATGCATATTTTGGCCCAGCCTCTGTTCTTGTGGCATGTGACAGCCGGGGCAGCACAACTCATTAGGGAGCTGCTGGCACCCTCAAGAGACACAAACATTGCACAAGCACACCCTTCCCTCTCTCTGAAGGAGGCTGCTAACAATATCTGCCATATACTTCTGAATCACGAGTTTCCCTACCAGAGAAACAACTGACTTTGCCAGGCAAACATTTCTGCCGTAGCGGAAATGGGGTTGATGGTTTTTTCCCTATGGGAATGACCCATTGAATGAATAATTCTGGTATCATCAGGCTGGAAGAAGAATTTTTGGCTTATCCATCTCCTAGCTGCATTTATAGTCTGTCCTTGTCTGATTCAGCTACTCAAAATCCCAACTGATGGTGGTAAAATAAAAGATTTTATTTTATTTTGGTCAGAGCCCTGCACCAAACCATGTTTATTTAGTTTTTTGACTCTTACAGGAGGTATCAGCAGGGGTCTGACTCTTTTGGTATCCCTTCTGGCCTAATAAAATATCAGTGGTTAATCTCAAGAACACACTGGGAGAGTATCCATTACACTCACTGTGAGATCACTGGGCACTCTCTCAAAGCTGCTCAGATTGTGATACACAGCAGAACCATAGGATTTTACCTATTTCAAAATATATTGTGATGCTGGAGCTATCAAGCCATACTACAATATACAAACTCTTAACAAGGCTTAATAAAGAAATTTTAATTAAATCTCGTCTCATGGAGACACTAGTGGGTTTGATGACAATTTCTTCTGGAAGCATATGAATTCATCTGGAAGGACATTTGGCCAGGACTTGCAAACCACAGATTTAAAGTTCTCAATTTTCCCAGTTGTTTTGCTATAACAAAACTCAAACTGCTCTGAAGCAGCCTGGGAAAGAGTCTCTGACATCCCCTGGCAGTGTATCATCATTGAACATAGACAGATACTTCCTTCATAGTTAAGGGCTTTTTTCAACCAAAAGCAAGCATTTCCTAATAATAATGCTAAAAAATAATATTTCATTTTTCTCAATTATTGTTTTCATTCCATTATGAAATCAAATTACTGTTTTGCACTCTTCATGACACTAAATCCCATGTCCTCCTAACTACCATTTCCTCATCTTTACTACAAGGCAGACCTTAAACCTTACATATGACATTAGAAGGAAAAGAAACAGCAGTGACAGGCCCATTGAGGTACTGACAAACATAATTCAACCATGCATTAACAAAAAAATTAGACCATAAAACATACTTTTAAACTACATACTAATTTTCCATATTTGCGATTACAGGTTACTAATTCTATGAAGATAAAACCTTCATTGGTACATACTTCTTTCCTAATACAAATAAGAAACAATAATAAGAATTTTAAATATTAAGACCTATTTCCTAAGGGACCTATCTTTTCACCTTACTGGTTTCTTTGTTATGGTAATTTACTTATAAATATATCAATCTTTTTCTTTTAATTACTAATTCTAAAGGCTCTTAGCTGTGAAATATCTGTATTCTAAAGCATCGTTGAACAGGTTTCCCTTACTAGTCCCAGTTTCACATTCTTGATGTCAGCATTTATTCTTGCTTAGAAAAGACTACCATCTCCATGAAAATAAAATATAAAGATGTATACTATTTAAACTGCTTTACCACTCTAATCAGGACTATTAAGAATGTCTTCAACTAGATTGTATTTTTTTACTCTCCTTTAATTTATTTCCATTTCCCAGTTTCTCATTTAGACATGTTACCTGCTGCTTTGATGGTCCTTACAGCTACCTTGGAAAAAAGGAGAAAAAACTGACATAGATTTTGCCTGTGAATGAAACAGTGTCCACAGTACCTGGGATACAGGCCAACACCAACATCCTGCATCTCTCCATTACTGATGGTGAAACAGTTACAAGTCACCTGTAAAAACAAGGAAAAAAAAATCCAGGATTACCAGAATCATTTGGAAACCCCATACTCAAGTGAAAAAAAACCCCTTCCAAAATAAAATGAAGGGGCAAATGGTAATTAGATGGGAAACATTCAAGCCCAACACTAGTGCTCTTTCATTTTAGAGCAATCACATCTGGGACACACTCTCCTGTAAAACTGCTGTCAATTAAAAGCAGAAATATTAGTATCCTGAAAAAATGTGGGGTTAAACACATGCAGGGGCCCTACTTTCCTGAAGTAGAAGGAAAAGAAGAAGAAAAAAGCCACCCAACACAGAGCCTGAGAATCTGAGCCCAGGAACAACCTAGCAGATGATAGTGACTACTGATGAAAAGAGCGGCTGTTTTTCATGCGGGGTCTCTGCGGATACCAGGCTCCCACAGCACCTTTTAATGAGTAGCAGTAGAACCCAAAGAATATATATATCTGGGACTGTTTTGAAGTAAATAGCAGCTCAGTTGTGGACATTGATACGGGCACAAATAAATGCAAAGACCGCGCAATAATTTTTCAGATTATGGCCATTTTGGTTTGCATTTAGAAGATCTGACGACAAAGCATGTTCAATTGCCATCCAAGAAAAATCTAACCTTTTTCATTAATTTAAAATATTAAATAATGTATTATTACATGTAAATGTATTATTCGTTCATATAATCTTACAAAATTAATGTGGTTTTAGAAAGGAAAGGGGCAAAATAGAAGATTCCGGTAAGCAGATTTAGTCCTACCCCAAACTGTCAGATTGAGCCTTTTTGGTGTTCAAGATATATCAACACAATAAATTATTAACAAATACAACTTTAATGTGCTTAAATGAAAAAAAACCAATTTGATTGTGAATGTATTTTTTAAGTATTTGATTTTTGGGGAAGAGCTGGTTTTGGTGGTTTTTTACATTCATTTTTTAGATATGCTGATCAGTTACCATTGATGTATTAACATCTTCTTTAGAAAAATACTTCATGATGCTGCATGCACAAGAAAAGTCACAGGTCTCTTCTGCATAGCATTGGATTATTAATATCATTAATTCTCATTAGAACAGAAAATGACTTAAGAGTAGGGTTTGGCAGACATGGAAATGAGATTTGAAAGTTGCAGTTTTATTCACAGAGTAATTGTCCAGAACAGAAAATGCACACCTATGTTTTAAAGAGGTATGCTGAACAATTTAATAGTATAACTTATCCTATAAATTGACAAATTATTATTTATGAGACCATTAACCATAAGGTGAAAATTAAATCCTCCTTCAAAATTTCTCATAAATTATGACAGCAACATTAATTTAAATAAATGTATACGCAGTAGGGCATGTGTTTTTGTAAACCGTTAAACAATACTTTGATTAGTCTATTATTTATGTAACCCATTCAAATGTTCCCTATCAATTACCAAAATCATACGTCTTAGTTATTTCTTTCCTGTTGACATTGGGTATAAAGTGTCAGACAATGTCTGAGCAAAGATTAGTCCATTTCAGGTGGCAATTATCTTGGTTCTAAAAATATTGACTTGATTTTGGTTTTTATTGAAAAAATAATGCCTTCCAGGTAAAATAGAAAGAAAGCCAGCTTTTGTGAGCCTTAGCTCTCTCTAACAGATCATAAAGTAGCAGAGGTCAAGAATCTCCTAGAAACAAATGAACTCCTCTTTCTTGCAAATCTCTTATTATTACCATAACATATTTATATTAATAATATTGAATTTTGATCACCACAAAGTTATAGAGACTGTTTCACCATTTTCCATTAAAGTTATGTATTATATTATGTGAAAAGTTTTACACACACAAGTCACAATAGTTTTACTTCTTCCTTTTTGAAACATGCATCAGTTTTTTATACCAGGATACCTTCAAAGAAAAATTTGAGATGAATGAATATGCTGAGATTCAGACAGGAAGAGCTATTTTTAATAGTAGTTCAATGTGAGGCACTTTTTAATCTCTCTTAGATATTTTCACAGTATACAGGTGCATCTCAATATCCAGTGAGACACTGAAATGCCACCTAGTTTCTAATTGTTTACAGTTTCAAATATAATACTGGGAATCCAAAGTATACAGGGCCAAATCTAAAAAGGTATTTATTTAATTAATATACAAACACAGGCAGAAGCCCAACTGCTCCCATGAGTTCTGGGCTGTATGATTCAGTTCACAATCCTGCCAGAGGCATGGGAACTGTCAGGTGCTCTGAGGTTTGTTTAACCTCCAAGAAGACAATCTTTCCCCCTTTTAAGCTCAGGAATGGATAAAACCAGCAGTGATATAGAAATAATGTGTACTGCAGATAGTAACCCTAGTCATGGCTGCTTTCTGTGCTCAGCAAGTGGAGAGAGAGGAACTGAGATTAGGGTGGAGAGAGGAGGAAGATCTCACCATTTACAGTGTGAGAAATTCTGATGTAATGATGCTCCTCCACAGACAGCTAGCAGCCTACAATGATATGAAATATGGAATATTCATAGTCTGTTACTATACATTTGGTTTTCTAGATTTGTTACAAAGTTTCTAAAAATCTACTGAATTACTTCTGCATTTCTATTTACATAAGCTTTCAGGATGTTTTAAGTCTGAGTTAAAGATCTGTTCTATCAAGGGGATTTATGAGATTTCAAAACAAGAATTGGTGTTGTAGATCACAACTTCCGAGGAACAAAATGAAGATGGTATTTTTTTTTTTTAGAGAACACTCAAAGAAAAGTCAGTCTTTCTAGCTTTCCAAAATTCACAGATGTAGCTCAAATAACAGCCAAATCTGGAGTATCCAACTTTTCTGCAGGAGAGCATGAGTAAGCTGCTTGTTCCTGAGGCAATTGTTTACAGATCAAAGCCTACTGGGACTGGAAGTTAACTAACTCCGTTTCTAGGGGAAAAAAAACCCAAACACATAAAACCAAGGCAAAACAAACATTTTCTCATGCATCACAGCATTTCTTTCAAGTTTCATGGTTATCTTGTGCTATCTTTTTTTTCTGCTTTAACTGACCCACTTTATTCCTTATTCCTTAATTATTCCTTATATGTAAGGAAAACATATATGTATTCCTTACATAGAATCAGAACTACAACCAGGTTCTGATTCTATGTAGTCACAGATTTAAAAATACAAAAATAAACAAATCTCAGCAGCTGATTGCTTCAATAACAGTGTTACTCCATATAATGGTAAGCTCCTTGTTGTCTTAAATCCTGCAGTATTAATTATCTCAGTAATTTAATTTGTACTTGTCCCTTATGAATCCTTTAAAAATTCCTCTCTATCCAGCTACAAAGTATTAAGACAGCATATCCACATTCAGAAATAGAACCAAGTACTCACAAAGTTTGTTATACCCACAAATAAGCCACGTATTTCAGAACTTCAAAGTGCAAAGACAAACTCCTTGGTATTTCTAAAATTTCTGAAAAAACACATCTCCCAGCATGAGAACCAAGTGAAAATTCTCAGGGGGGAGTCACAAAGTTTTCAAGCCTCCAAAATGCAAAACTTTGAAATATTCTACAGCAGTCAAGGCTTATCACCATAGCCTATTTGGCCACAGAGCTTCAGTCTATAAACTCAACAGTTTACAGAATCACTTCTGAGTGTTTGAGTTGCCTCCATGGCAATAAATCCTGCAAGTTTATTTAAAAGTAGCTGCTGTTTGAAACAACCAACAATATTATATAAACTGACTAAATTAAATAAAAAGATTTGCTCTTTTGAGGCTGCACATATTTTAGAGGAGTACCCTGCACCCAGAAAGGTAACACAAGTAGAAGACATAATCTCTCCTAGACTGGTAAACACACAATGAGTAAACCAACTTTACTGACTGACCAATACTCTCAGGCATACCTTATCACCAAACAAAAATTATTGCAATCTGTTACATTTGCTTTCCTCTCTGAGTGACTAATGAAAACTCTGTAAATTTACCCTATAAAGAGGTCACTGTTCTCAAGATGTCTAAGGCTACTGTCTGAGAAATCTCTGTCAGTGCCAGACTCACAGTCTAGTGGACAGTCATGATTTATTTTGGTGTTTGCATTTGACAGAGTACAGAGGCCTCAGTTTTGCAACATAAAGAGTTGAATTTGCTCTCAGTTCAGTCCTCATTCCTACAGCTTTATACTGAGGATTTGCCTTTGGGTTAAATAAAGCAGAGTTAGACTTGATGGCAAGACATTCCAGATTTGGAATTTCAGACACTCAGACAATGAAACACATCAATAAGGGTGTAAGGGAAAGAAAACAAATCATTATTGGCTAACACTTGCTGCACTGATCAAATTACAAACACCAGGGCTAATAATCAATCATTTTGTCTCCACGTGTTCCTGTTACTGCAACACAGTGAGGCAGCTCTTATAATACATGTAAGAAACCCTCCCAAGGACTTCCAAAGGGTATATTGCACTGATAGGGTCAATACAATTTTCAGCTCTGATATACAATGACTCCAGCCATCTCTGTAAATGGTGTGTCACAGCTGGTGTATTCTAATCCACCACCAGGAAGAAAGCCATAACGAACCCTTTCCCCCTAATTTATTAACCCAATGTAATATAAATTAAAAATAGATATTAAAAAAAGCCCTTTCATGGATTATTAAGTTTCTCATTCACACTGAAGCTTCTTGGGTATCACTGGTCATGGCCAACTATTTAACAAAAGATACTGCCATGAGTTCTCATGTTAATAGACTTCTCAAGAGACTCAAACATTTTTCCAGGAGGAAGGGATGAGCAGTAAATGCTATGTGAGGGGCACATTAGCACGAATGACCAAGGCATACCCCTGAGACCTTCTAGAAGCACCACATCCCACTACAGTTCTGCACTGATAGCTCTTTCCCACTGGAAGATGAACAGATAACAGGCACAGATGGTTGATAGATCTCAAATCTGCTAATGACTTAATTTGGCACACAGAGCACTAGAGCAACAGTGCTAAACTGTAATGCACAGTATGCCA